AAAGGTAGAAGTCTGCTATTCTGAGCTGGGAGCTTCTTTGGAATTGGCATAATTAACAGTTTCATTTTTATTTAAAACTGGCATCCATTTTCTATTATTTTTATTTATTATCTGTGGTTTAATGTGGGAGAAGGGCTGTTTATTGCTTGCTCTTCTATAATTGTTCCATGGATGTTGTAGTGTTATGATTTTAACCTGCGGAGTCTCTCAAGTGCAGAATGAATGAATGGAAATTATAAATGTGTTCAGCGCTGCATTTGCAATATTGACAAAGCTTATTGAAAATGACTTTCATTATTCTAGATCAGAGGTGGGGAACTATGACCCTTTTATGACTTGTGGACTTCAACTCCCAGAATTCCTGAGCCAGCAAGTCCACAAGTCATAAAAGGGCCATAGTTCCCCACTCCTGTTCTAGATAATGACAACAGATTTAAGGACCAAGGTGTGATAATATTATCTTTGTTTTGGTAAACAATTGAAGAATCATTCAGTTTGTTTTGTTTTCATTTTGTTTTCAGACCGATAGAGCGTTTTGATCGGGAAAGGCCACTGAGAGGCCGTGGGGGAGGAAGAGGTGGACTGCAGGGCAGAGGCAGAGGTGGTGGTATGAACAGGACCTTCAATGGCTTTGATCAAAGAGGGAAGCGGGAATTTGACCGGCAGAGCGGGAGTGACAAAACGTAAGTGCTGCTTTGTATGTGCATTTGTCATTTCTTAATCAATCTTTGAACTCGTTGCTATGAAATGTCGCTCCCTTTGTATTATCCTTTTGTCAACAGACAAAACATATTCAGACAGGAGTTTGGAATGAAAATTGGCTTTGCTGTTCTATGACTTGTAATTGATTAACTTCTATGTTTTTTACATATATTTGTTTCATTAATGCTTAAAACTTTTTAATAACTGTGGACTGTTGTCCTGGAATCAGCTGGCCCAAAAAGTGGTTTATATATTTACAAAACAAATCATCGCTTCATAACAAGGAGCCTAAGTAAATGTGATGGGGATGCTGATACTTTTGTAGGATTTAAACTGTTGTAGCTCTTCTTTTTTTGGGATTCTCTCCAGGTAATGACTTCAGCTCTAGAATTCTCAAAAAAAAACCTGTTGGCTGCAGAAATCTGGAGTAGAAGTGAATTGGTAAAACCTGTATAGTTCTGTGAATGTACATGATTTAATTTCTAAGAAGTGTAAAATTTCTATCTACAGAGGAGTCCGTCCAGAAGATAAAAGGGGTGGAAGTGGACCACGTAACTGGGGAACTGCTAAGGATGATATGAGGTATGAGAAATGTATTAGTAATTTCCAGGGAATCATTGCCAGGTCTCAATAACATTAAAATTATTTATTTTAACTATTGGATCCTGACTGAAGAGAAGTATCTTGTCTCCTATTGTTTTGAAAAGTTTTTTTTCCCCAGTGTGCATCTGAATAATAGGAGATGTATAGGGTGATTTGTAATGTAACTCCTGAGGGCCACTGGGGAAGAAAAGGGTGCAAATTGTTATTTGTGAATTTCCTTAATTATCTCACCTTATGTCCAACTTGAGTTTTAGGCAGCTCTGCCTTTAGTCTTATCCTGCCCCCACAGCGTCTTGCCACCTTTTCTATGCTGAAACATTCGTCTAGACCAGGGTTAGGCAACCTTGGGTCTTTTATGACTTGTGGACTTCAATTCCCAGAATTCCTGAATCAGCATGGCTGGTTCAGGAATTCTGGGTATTGAAGTCCACAAGTAATAAAAGAGCCAAGATTGCCTACCCCTGGTCTAGATTAATCTTGCTTCAGTAAACAGTGCAGAATTTATTTTTCCCTAAGGCCTCTTTTTCAAGGCGCTTTGGCAGAGCCTGGACACATCTGTACTCTTTTTGTCTTAGATTATAAGAACTGAGAAAGAAACTAACCTTGGGAGGCTTTCTTCAGCTTTAATCATTTGGAAGCAGGATTTGAACAGGAAGACATGTTGGGTCTTGCTTCACTGAAAAACCTGAAGTTCCTGTAATAAAAGGACATAGCCTTGTAGTTACATTTGTGTGTGTGTGGGTTCACATTAAATCTTCTTTCAAGCAGGAGTTGGAAAAACTCTTTATCTCACTCTCTGAAGACAGATGGCTTTCTTACATTCCAGCTCAGATAGCTTTAAAGATTGTAATTCATGAAGGAAAATTAAAGATTTGCATATATGCTATGTCCGTGGGAAAGTGAAATGTTTGACGTTTAAAGAGAAACATGTCTTCTAGCTATATTGGTCAATGGTAAATGTCTTGGAAAAAAGGGGAATCGGTGTCAGAAGCTAAATGCTTGTATCTCCTTGTTGGCTTTGTGCCACAGGAATGGGTTAAGGAAGAAGAGTGCGCTTGCATTTTTTTGGTTTTTTATGTGATGAGATTTGTGTAGTCTCTGTTAAGTTAATGGCATACTACTACTGAGATTCATACAGTGCATAATGCAACATGCTACTTGCAGACTTTTACATTCTGTGAGTCCACCCCAAACTCTGAAACAGCTTTCCCAGTTTGGTGATGTGAGAGGTTGTAGTGAGGAACTATGTTTTTGTTTAGGCCATGTGAGGGATCCTGTCTAGTGTAGCTTTTGTATTTCACCTCTGCTTTACTATTTCTACAGTGAGCTGGAACAGACTCCTATGGAAGAGACTGCAGAAACAGAAGAGAGCCCAGGAGCACCTGATGGAGAGCCTCCAAAGAAGTATGGCCTGGTTTGAGAATCTGGCTTTTGTTGCTCCTTAAAACTCTAGCACTGATGATGTTACCTAATTAGGGTAATGAAACATTTGCAAGAAAAGGGGCGTTGTCTTACCTGAACGCCGTTTCTCAGCACGGAGATGGATAATCCACGATGGGTTAACTTAATCCTCCTGCCCAATCAGATCAAGTCAGCCAAACTTGCCACGCCTGTCCTGGGCCTATCCTTTCCCAGTTTTTGACGAGGACGCAGCACTGGCTGACAGCAAGACGTGTTGGCTCACAGGCTA